TTATCATAACGACGGCAGGTGGCGCTGGGTGACTGAAAGAAACTACACGTACTATACAGGAGAAGACTCCTTTATTTGTGAGGATTCTCCATTTTATTTGGAGCATGAAGAGTGTTCTGTTACATAATGATTCATCCTCTTTTAATTAAAATAAACATTTGCAGTCATTATCTTTTGCTATATTATTTCATTAAGCATGGTGTATAAAGTTCTAAATCATTAAATGGAGTATTCTAAAGTTAACGTCGGATCGTATATTCGTCTCCTCGGAACAGGGATGGGGTCGATTACTTTCAAAAGTAATCGATTAAATTACAATTACTTTGGATCTTAAAAGTAATCGATTACAAGCTGATTACAGACATTTTTAAAAGTAATCAATTATATCTGATTACTTTTCCTTCATGTAATAATGATTACTTATGATTACTTTAGATTACATTAAGATTTTTTTAATGTTCAAGGACAACAGCATGTTTTTATTCTTCTTTCTTTAAATATCATTAACATTTTTAACGTAAAATTCAGACAAAGTCTGGTGATATACCGTAAATCTGGAAATTTTTACGTCGATTTATTTTTGCGAATTTGGGTCAAAAAGCTGTTGATTAATTTTTACGCTTCAAATTTTTGCGAATTGTCACTGGTGCTAAAAATAAAAATCACTGAAGATTTTCATATCAGGTTATTTTTCAAATAATATGCCCAGTATATCCACCAATATACTCGCAACGTGGCAAGAAATTGCAAAACTGTCCAAAACAATTTTGATAAAAATGAAAATAATTTCTAAATCAATTATAACAAACATTTTTGAGGTTGTGTATGCCTTTTAACCTAAAGTATAATCCAAATTAAGAAAAAAATTAACTAATTTTCTCAACGTTTGTTTTTTTTCTCAGATAAAATTTACACGCCGCTTCTTCTTCTGGAACTTTCTAGTAAATGCACTGAGTTAGAGTTATCGCCCGTGTTGATACACGGTTAGATAAAATGACAGTTCTCTTTTTATTGGCAAATTAATTGATGAAAATAATTAAAAGGGGGAATACCGCTTCAGTGCTTGTCTAATCATCGGACGATATTGCATAGAATGAGGGCAATTTACACGCACGGGTAATTAACTTGTAGTTATATAGTAGACTAGTGTAAACACATGACCAGTGCTTACCGACGCCTATTCACCGAGTTAAAAAAAAAGACACGAGTTCTCAGAAAAAAAATTCTTCACATGTTGACTTATTTTTAAGAAAAATATTTTTGCGAATGCAATACACGCGCAAATATGCTAAAAATTTATCTACAGTAAAAATTTCCAGATTTACGGTATGTATTTATTTTATATACATGCATGAGATTTTTATTATTTCATTTTATTTCTATCTTTAATACAAATAAATATCTTGTTTTATGGTTGAGTGAAATAGAAAAAAAATATTTCTATTTATAAATCAAACTGGACATAATGATAGTTATTGAAGTAATTGGCCTTCTTAATTAGTTATGAACTTTTCAATTAAGCTGCCAATTATCATATGTTTTTACTACAATTAACAGATTGACTGGACAAGTATGGATAGTTCAATAATTGTTGTTGACCTAATTTAAGTCAGCCTGTGTTTTATTACTAATTAATTCAAATTATCTTTTTATGTACATTGTAAATCAAACAAACTGATTTTTAGAAAACAATAACTTTACAATGATCATGTAGATTGAAACTTTCTTCAGTATATACATGTATCTAGTCAAATATGGCAAATTGCTTAGCTGCTAAAGTTTTTTTAAACGACTAATTAATATAGCTAAGAAATGAAAGAATTTACTCATTGCCTGGACAATGGACCTGGATATAATCATTTCTGAGAGAATAAGAAGAAGATATCTAACTAAATATATGACTTATAATCTTATAATAGCATTTGCTTATTAACAAATTTGTACTCTGAAAAAAAAAAAAACACTGAATATCATTAAAATCATGAGTTTATTAACTTAGTTTTAATAATTGTAATCACAAAGTAATCAAAAATAATTATGATTACAGGACTTTTTTTCACAGTAATCGATTAAATTACGATTAATTGTAATCAGAAAAATGGATGATTACTGATTACTCATGATTACTTGGCAAACTGTAATCGATTACAGCTGATTACGATTAGTGATTACGATTACCACATCCCTGCATCAAAAGTCATCTAGATTTATCCTCGGATCGTGTATTCCTCTCCTCGGAAGAGATCTAGCTTCATCCTCGGATTGCATATTCGTCTCCTCGGAAGAGATCTAGATTTATCCTCATGTTTTAAATAAACTATGAATAGCATTTACACAAAGACAGACAGCGCATTATATTGTTTCGTTCCCAAGGAAACTGACTGGGATCTCCCCTCACCATACAAACATTTTAGCACAAAGCGTTGTTTTTTAAATTTCTATTCGTAATCCAAAAATTAAGGGGCAAATATATTTTGCTAAGACGGTGGGTCCAGTTGTCTGTTTGTTTGTTATTTTTTTTCCTGATTTATCTGTAAGTGGTAAATCAATTAGCCCTGACTATTTTACCGGTTCATTTCTTGTGGTACGAGCTTCTGTTGTATACCAATATTTTCTTTTTATTCTTTATCCTTTTATTTGGACATCAGACTTTGACCTCTTTTGAAAAACTTTGGTAATAACTTCTGAATGGTTGATTTCGTGATTTTAATATTTCCCCTGTGTATTCTTTCTGAAATTCTTTCGGGTATCATTAATATTGACTCCTTGACCTTGTCCAGTTTGACCTACTTTTGAAAATCTCTAACTTTGGTCATAATTACTGAACTGTTGCTGCTTTTACGGGTTTTATTTCAGAAGGTAGACTCATTGTGAGGAACGTTTTTTTTTGGTACCAAAACTTCTTTTATATTAACCTTGGTGACCTGCAAACGTCAACATTTATCATAAGCCCCTTTGTTTCACAAACTTATCTTGATTTTTTTTCATTAGCTCCTAAAACTTTTTCTATTGATTGAATAGCAAATTTCAAGTGGTAGTCTATCAATTTTTTTGGATATACTAGTATATAAAGCATCCTTTACACATTGCATAAAGGAGAATGACTTGTCACACATATTGAATCATTTTTTTAAAGATGTAGTCTCATAATTACAAAAGTTTTAGCAAGCATATTGATTAATGTTAGCTTGCTTTTTATTTGCAAAAGCAGTTGTAAATATAAGATAACATCTTTCAAAAAATAATGAATCGGTGCTCATTTTTTTTTTCTAACTCCTTGTCTTGTTTTGCAAATTTGATTTTTTTTTTCTAATTTACTTGAATATTCTCTAGCCTAATTAATGAATTTAAATGATCTCAAATTTTGCTTTTAAGATTTGTGACGTCAAAATAAAACTCGTATTACAAATGTAACCTTTTAATCCCCGATCTGTGTAAGAGTGTTTTGAAATAAAAGAAAACACACAATAAAAAATTACAGTCGATTTAAATAAAAATATATATCTTAACATCTTTATTACAATGAAACTTGTTTTATCCGACATGCACGGGGAACAGATTAAAAATATATGTGTTGGAATAAACAAGATGTAGTATTGCAGCGTGTAAAGATAATTGAGATAAGTATAAATGATAATGAAATTAAATGGCTGAAATCACAGTAAAGAGTATTGCTTGTGTCGGATTAGACAGGTTCCACTGTACTAGGTTTAACAATAAAGTAATCTTAATCCTAATTCTCCGTCCAGTTATCTCCATTTATCAGTGTTTGTAAAAAAGAACGAAATATTTCTATTTTCAAATTTATTACAACACATATAAAATACATCTTTTACTGAATACATCCAGTATCGCTTTACAGAGCCGTTCAACCACCTTCTTTTACTGTTTGTTACTTGATGTTAAATATTAAAAAAAAGAACTCAGCGATAAAAATTAATTTAAAATCGTCTCTTGGATGTTTCCGTAATCCATGGATGATCTTTCGTCTGTTAAAAAAAAATTAAATTAATACTTCACAGATAAATGTATGATAACATATTTTTTTTTATTAAAAAACACAACTTTTATTACTGAAAATTTCAGAGTGATACAAAAAGAAAAAAATAGATATTAAGATGTAATGATGTTTACCTAGTTCCGTCTGATCATCATGGTGGTCCCCTTCACTGATGTCCCACTCGTTACTGTGGGAGACCATGGGTCGTACCAGGACTCCGGGGACCAGGGACCGTTAAGGAAGGCGAGGTTACAGTAGTTAAACCACCAACCTCCTCTGTGGCCACTGTAAGCAGCACAGTTATAATCACTAGCTCCGTCGTTATCTCTGTCTGGGGTTGAGAAGTACATCCCAGACAGATCGAGGTGAGAATAACCGGTGTCCAACATACAGTCTCCTGTAGAATTAAAAAATAATAATATACATGGACACTTGTTTAAAATAGATCAGCAGAGTTATATCGACTATACTCGTCGTTACCTCTGTCTGGGTGGAGAAGGAATCCCAGACAGATCGTGGTAAAATAAAACATACTGTCTCCTGTAGAATTAAAAAAGACAAATATACATGGACACTTGTTTAAAATAGATCAGTAGATTAATATCCACTATAATCATGGCGAAGAACATCACAGACAGATTGTGGTAAAATAAAACCTGTATTTAACATACTGTCCCCTGTAAAATCAAACAAAAAGAATCACAAAGTTAATTGATTTATATATTTTAAATCTAATTGTCAATAATAATACTGAGGTACTTCTAAGATAGACGGCTTTAGGTGCTGGGTAGAGCGATAATATTTATTTAGTTCAGCCGTAGAATCCCTGGTGTCTATCATACTGGCATCTGCAGAATTAGAGAAAATATATAACAGAGATAATAATTATTAATTTACATCAAATTAATCTTAATACTGAAGTACGTCTGAAATACATTGTTTAAAGTGTTGTTACCTGTACGGAAAGATAAAAATAATACAAGACAACAAAACACTACACAATTCACAAAGCATCCTTTCTAGTGTAACAATAAACAACAGACGGGTTACACTGGGGGGGGGGGTTAAAGGTCATTTGAAATTTTAGAAAATATGAAAAAATGAAATTTTAATATTTGTCCGAGAACGTGCCTTCAAACATGTATAACATGCAATATTAAGTAAATCATTAATAACGAGATAAGATATGGTGTATCTGTGAATCTTTTAAGATGGTAGATTTCCTATTAAATAAATGTAATTGTGAAACGCGTTGAGGTCTTTTGAATTTGGCATTTTAAGCTTTCTTTATTTGAATATTTATCCGATCAAATATTTTTTATCATCAAATTTTTGCAAACCTTTAGACATTTAAGATTAATGACGCACTGTAAACTTCTTATTCAGTAGTAGTAAAAAAAATGTGGATCATTGAAAATCAGACTAACATGCGCTGTAAACTTTTTCCGTATCAGTTAAAATGTGAATTATAAAAAATTATCAGGAAACCCAATCTGAAAAGCAATGTTGAACAAATGTAATTATTGGATTTGTTTGTTTAAAAAAATTAATTTTTCCTTGTACATAAGATGTATAATTAGAAATTTTATCTACTTGACGATAACAAATTCAATATCTGCTGAGTATATGAATTGTATCTGCAAATGAAATTCTGTAATATTAAACATGTTTATTTAGCGTGGAATCAAAAAAGAATACATAATATCAGAAAAAAACACATCTTTCTTTTTTTCAAGAACTTTATAATCTTTCAATACAGAAAAGAATACTTATTGATAATATACGTGATTTGAACCCAATTTTAAGAACTTAACATGATTACACTGACCTAAAGTCCCCGTGGCAGGGCCTGCAAGAAAGAGCTGATATTTTCCTGCTTCGTCTGAGACAGAGAATCCGCCGTACATTTCATACAGCGTTGTACCATTCTGGACGGTGATGGACACATACAGGGATGAGTTCTTTCCCTTTGTTAATAGATGGATAACGTCATTTCCTGAAGATATATTTGAAATCATCTGAAAAGTTCATCAAGTACAATCAATTCTTTTGAAAATATGAATCTACCGTTATGAAAAATAAGATTATTTTTCATAGCTGTAACCATTGCTAAATTTTGTCTCATTAGAATATGCCGCTAAATGATATTCTTCTTTCTATTTTCTTTTTATTATTTGAGATATCAATTAAACACGATATCTGAATATCATAGAACACATATTACCTGGTCTTAACTTTAGATCTTTATTACCCATTATAATTTTTTACTTGCCACAAGAATTATTTTTATCTTAAAACTTTGAAGGAATAAAAAGTTCTTATTTGAAACCGATTTACACTTACCTATCCAGTAATCCTGTTCTGGGGTACCAAAACCATTTTTATATTCCGTCCAGTTCCTGTTGAAACTCACGGATCCGTCTACGCGTTTCTGAATTGCCTTCAAAAATTAGAATACATTTCATTTCAATTTATTGCTTCGAACAATCATAGGATCCATATGTTTTGATATAAACTACAATATAATCCTTAAAACCACCAAAACAAGGTGTGTTATATTAAGTACTTTTAATTATAAAATAAAAAAACCTACCGTCCATCCACCGTCGCAGTAGACACTTATTGGAATGGTTAATGTTCTGTAGGGGTATATATCATACACCCCTGTGATGGTTTGTCCATTTTCTCGAAGATCTTTGCAATCTTTGGGCATGCTAGAAAAATATTAAAAAAAAAAAGTCAAGAAACTTGATTAAAAAATAAAAATCCTGTCCCCTCGAGAAGGACCTAAAAATTCAAAGAAGCTACGAGATTAAAAACCCCCAAATATACATACCGTTATCTGAGTAGTATCTCCAACCTGCCTCCTCAGACGTTTTTACCCTAATTGATGTTCAATAGCCACAAAAGACATTGGTTCAGATTCACCAAGGGTAAAAACAGACTATAAGAACTCTTTTATTTGAGGAGGTAAACAATTTCGTTACAGGAGCCATATTTAAAAACTGAAATTTCAGTGAATATTTTTATGTTGGGATTTACATGCCTAAAAGGTAAGCAATGTAGAAATAAAAGTGATAGAGGGTCAAATAAACAACCAAATGACTTAATTGAAGCGAGTAGCTGTGTGGCTTAGGTGAATTATTCTTGCTATAGTCGGCCGAAGTTGGGACTTGATCTCCAGACATGAATTATATAGGGCTGTCCAGAGATTATGCGGGCGTCAGTCCAAATATCTAGCCCAGCAGAATCTCAACAGAGATTATGAGCCCATGTACCCTTAACTATTAAGGATATAAAATTTTGCATGTCAAAGAGCGTTCCTTGCATCTCTATCTCTGTAAGATTCTCTAAAACTGATCAAACAGGCCAAGGTATCAATATTCCGTTACCATCTTTTCACCAAAGAAACACTTGCCCAGTAAATAACTTGAAAAAATTCTTGCAGTGAGAACACGTGTGGAGGGTTCATTATTCGTGCATTGCAATAAAATTTATCACCCGAATTCTGCTTACAAATCACATTCTTTTAGAATTGGAAGTGCGACGTGTCTTGCATTAAAAGGGGTATCACATGACAAAATCCAATTATTGGGACGCTGGAAATGAAGCGCATTCCTTAAGTATATTAGAATAGATATGATGTGAGCTTCGTAAATGAGTTGTATTTACCATATTATTTATTGCTTCTTTAGAACACCTTGTATGGATTGTGGGATCTTCAATTGATTACTGGGCATGTAGATGGGCAGCTACAAATCTGACTACTAACTTACGCTTGGAAAATTTAGGCGTTCAGGTAACCTGGATTGGCAAAAGGTGCATGAAATGGGGGAGCTCATTGACTCTATCGAGCAAAAGTTAACTAAATGTCCTCCTCCTGCATATTTAATTATCCACCTAGGGGGGAATGATATCACATTAAGAGCGAGGTATTATGTACCAGAATAGAGTACGACGTGAAATATGTTCCCTTGAACGGAAGTGAAAAAGAGTTAATAGAGCTGCTCGTAGGGCGGTCGCATCAGTAAACGGCATTAATCACCCTGATATAGAGTTTTCGGAGGAGAGGCTTTACCGCACTGACGGAGTCCATATGTCTTACGTGGGAAATGCAGTTATAACAAACACTTTTCAATCAGCCATTGAAGCTTTTATCTCCTCTTAAATTTTATTTGTTGGTGGCAGAGATGTATAGACATCTCTGAGTGGCGGATATGTCGGACAAGCAGATACATTTGTCATCATTATATTAATTATTGTTTATGTATGATTATCTATTTTACATGATTGGTAGAGCATGTTGTGGCTCGCTAAGGCTACCCTAGGAGCCAATACAAGCTTGCTATGGAGTGCACTAGGAGCTTATGTGAGGTATCTGTTCGGTATAACAGTAACCTCGTACCCCGTTCGGTATAACGGGTGGTTATTTTTTCCCTACTCGGTATAGTGGGCTTATCTGTTCGGTATAACTGGTAGTAGCCTCGTTAAAGAATCCCATGGGAGGCAATTACATATCCTAGCTGACTCGCTAAGGGGTACCCTAGGAGTTGATTTATAAATATTGTTACGCCTTGCTATGAATTACCCTGGAAGGTGAGGTGCCATAACGCCCGTTATCGATTTAGGTGTGTGGCACCCAATTATTGTTAAATGCTTGTCTGACATTTGTCATTGAAACAATTATTAAGTCTGTGGCCTTTATCATCCAGCAAACATGTTTTGTTATTTTTTCGGAAAATATTCTATTAAATAAAAATCAGGTTGAAAAGTGGATGAAGTTTGAACACGTCATTTATCAGGTCTTCAATTGGTATGTACTTAAACTGTTGAAGTTTAAACAATACCCCAGATATATCCAATTAAAAAGTGTAACATAATAGATGGAAATGATGACGTTTCGGTGCATGATACACCAAATGAATATTGAATCTTGCCCCCTCCCCAAACAATTTTGCCGATATATAGAATACTATAGAAAACAAGTAGTACATGTTATGTATATGCCTATATTTCTTCAATAATACGACTGCATGTTGACATTTTCTGCTTGTCGAGGAAATTTTGGTAGTTAAGAGTGACCCAAACTGAAGAAATATGACAGCCCCCCCCCATTAAAATTGCTTCCTGCAGACCTGACCTAAGAAGAATTCTACTTGGATCCTGTCTCCTGATAGACAAAATATATGGACAAACATCTCGTGGTAGTATTGAATGATGCTATCAATACAGACCATTCAAAAGATTTCATACATGCATTTACATGTAGTTGAATACAGTTTTCTTAATAGATAATTGATAAAATCAGATGAATGTAAAAAGAAAATTAATTTATAGTCAATTTCAGTTTCAGAGAGTAATTGCCCTTTGAATGAGTTTTTTTTTTATGAAATGTAGAGTAATGACCTAATATGAATGTTTAACGTGTTTAAATTGTATGTTTCTGTTTTGTAAATTGAATTTGCTTGTCTAAATTTGTTTATGTATCTTTAATGACAAATGATACAAACAAACTTTTGTTAAAAGTCTTGTAAATAACGACATAAAGTCATGTTTTAATGAATAAAAAAAATAGGTTTCGCCGCGTAGTTTATAATTTTTATTCAAAGTTTCACAAAAATGGAAATTGAAGTGAAAAATATCTTAATAGAATTATAAGGATGGATTCAGAAGGGTAGAATTTCAAACATCACCGTAGGTTTACAATTTCTTTATATTCTAGAATTTGTTGCAATGAAATTAGGTGAAAAAATATATACTAACCCGGATTATTGTTTGTTTGTATTATCTGTCCTTAAAGTGTTATTGATATCTAAGGGTTGAATTCAACTTGTTTGATTCTATCATTCATCTTTAATAATCTCTATTTCCATAGAATAAAAAAAAACCCAGAATCCAGCCCATATCGACTTATAATTATACTTATAAATCTTTAAATTACATTAGTTCAGTGTTAGCTATTATATCTGGTCACATATTTATTTAACTGTTGTGTATTGTTGTTATTATTAAACTTATAGTATTTTTACATTTCACGTCGGGTTTGCAATTGTCTCCGACTTTGCGCGTATGTCAGCCCGTTATGGACAACGCCTTCACATCTGGTGCTGACCACCGTGGCGTTGTCAACGGCCATAACTAGACAGACATAACTGCGAGTAGGTATCTATCGTCCACTAGACATTTAATATTGTTCACAGTGATTTATCTATTCATTAAATAAATAATTGTTAACCTTTACAAATGCATTTTTCTTTGTAAATTACTGAATTTAGTTTTATGTGTGGAAACGTATAAGTTTCCTGTTAATATATCAAATTATAATTTGCTCCTTAGCTTCATCTAGGTGTTTTCCCTAGCATTTTTTAAAAAAAAGAAAATGACATGCAAAAATCGTTAATATCTGTAAACTAACATAACATTGGAATTAGTTTTAATATGTGTCAAAAACAATTCAGCATAAAAAAATTACCATAAGCTTCTTGAAAATAGAATTAAAATATTTTTAAATGTTTATTCTGAAATGCTTTTAAAAAGCCTTTCTACAACATTAATAAAATGTTCTGGCCTGTCACAGTAGCCTAATGGTAGAGTGTTTGCTTCGTTAAAGAGAGGCAATGGTGACGTCATCATATCAGTGAAATATTGTGGAGAGGGACGGTAAACATTATACAATTAATCAACATAACAAAACCCTTATTTTATTTTTCAGTAAATGTAATTTAATGTTACGTGGATGATCTTGTTAACAATCTTATTGCCAAAATCGGGTTCAAATAAGGTAAACAAACCATTGACAAAGTAAGCAAACACAAAAAAAAATCCTGAAATATTAAAACTGTCAACATGAAAAAAGCTTTTATTAAACAGTAACTACAATGTTTTTGAAATTTATTTAATTGCTGATATAGTTTCCGATTTCATCCAAACTTTGTTTGGCATTTATTAATTCCTCGGGGAAGCAGACTTTCATAGAAACATTAAGTGTTCTAAAATTAAAGGACATGAAGCTATCATATAACAAATCCTCTCCCTTCCTATCAAGAATATTGAGTGGGTTTCTCATGAATGTTTCAAATGTATTTAAATAACTACAGAGTAAGGATAGTATTCCCATGTTCTATTACTATTTTATTTATTAATGTAATACAACATTTGAAAATGTCCGTCTACTCTCATTAAGAGAAATTGATTATATTGAAAACTTTATTTGTTTACTTTATTTTTTTTTCTTTTCGTCCTAAGAAGTTAAATTACTGATTTTGTTAGCATACATTTACCATACATAGACTTTCAGGTTTTTGTCAACAAATAGACTTTGATCTTGCGTTGAATTTTTTTGATTATAAACTTTTTTTTTTTTTTTTTACAAAATTTCTCTTTTACGGACAAGATATGGAAACGGCCGAATTAGGCCCCTTATATTATGTGAAAGCCAAAACAATGAAATGTGTTATATTTGGTAGTCAAGAACTTAATATGATTCTTATCAAAATTAATGAATTGATGACGAATTTCCGTTACATCATTACAATGAGCACACGGCGGGTGTGACCGGTCGGCAGGGGATGCTCACTCCTCCATGGCACCTGATCCCACCTCTGATGTTTCGGAGGTCCGTGTTTGCTCTGCTCTTATTTTGTATATTTGTTTAATGGACGTTGAGATTGAATACTGTTCGTTATTTCCATATCCTTCTTTTAAAAGCTATGGCAACAGGTTTTAATTGATAAATTGTTGTATTAATCTTAAAGAGGACCCAAAATAGTGGACGTAATGGATCCTTAGCCTATCTTATCTTTTTCTAGAATCGCTTGTCGTATGGTTTTGAAAGTCAGGTATAATTGATTTATTATTCATTATTTTGTTGATTTCTATCTGATGATAAATTTACTTTTTCAATTCGAAATATCATATACAAAACGAATAAGAATATTGTCTGACTTCCAACTTTCAAACTGTTACTTTTCCATAGGTGTTACCAAAGTTATTTTCTTGTTATTCCTGAAATTCCTGCTTTCATTGCATCTATAAAAATATCTCTAGCATGTTCTTTCTTTCTTAAATCAACACTTAATCTGATCCACAGATGTACAGCCTTCCAATAAAATTGTCCAGAAAGTTCTAAACACAGAACACGGAAGAGTTGTAGGGTAGTGCTGTTAGAGAGACCCGCCCTCAGAAGTAGAGATAAGAAAATAATTACAATACATTACATATTGAATAATAGAATAAATATGCTAGGATTATGTAGGTCGGATAATACGTTATTGAATACTTTATAAACAGTAACTTAGAAAACCAGTGTCTCTGTTTAAGCAAAGTGAATTGTTTTTACGTATGTTAGAAATGAATGAAATTGTTTAAATATGCACAAAATTATATGATGAAATAGAGATTCCTTGCGTTATTGTTGTAAACTCCTAATGACTCCTCAATTAGATAATAAAATCAATACACCATAGCTGCCTCTGTAATATTTCGACTCAATATATCTCAGTGAATTCAAAATATAAAATACCTTTGAGTCTGAAATATCTGGTTCTCAGTTGATCAATTCTTCATACACGAAATAAATTCTCCAGGAAGCAATATATTTTTCTCAAACAACAAAAAATTGACCCCTAGGAAATATGTGATTTGACGGTAATTGTTCGACCATTATTTTCATGTTGAATTGCTTATGGGTCAGCTCCGATATGTGTTATTTAAATGAAACCCAGCTTGAACAAACGATAGTTATCCGAATATTTCATAAGTACAATTACAAGGAACGGAGCAGTTAATACTCAATTTGTATTTAATTGGACTTTTAATTTCTAATGAACTCGATCCCTACAGTGAATATATACAAACATTCATTAGTATATGTGGTTTGATTTTATTTGGTGATAAAATCTTTACACATGTGCGTCTTATATACTCCAAAATTTCTCAAATAAATGTTTTAGAAAGCGAAAATTCCCCAAAATGTAAGAAAACAAGATATGAATCATTACTTGGCATTACAACATACCTTTGATTAATTAATCATCTAATATATGTTTTGTCCTCAACCATATGCATACAAAACAGTTCAAGATCGATGGCTTATGATTGAAGTATATGTCAACAAATGAACAATTGAATTGCTATAGATGATTTACCTATTTAATTGAAATATATACATAGGAATTCCCATGATTTGTAGTTTGATATGATTTTTCCCCCACGAGTTGTGTGATTTTTATCCCCTAGCCTTGGCGATGGGATAAAAACACACAACGAGTTGGATAGAAATCATATCCAATTACAAATCATAGGAGATTCTTTTTATCCCATGATTAATGCTTCACAACCGATGTTATACACTGTTTTATATAGCACTCC